GATTGGGCAAAATATTCACATTAGTGCTTAGCAATATTAGCTAACGTGCTAATTAGGGTTGGGCAAAATATTCATGTTCGAGCTTAGCAATATTAGCTAACGTGCTAATTAGGATTGGGCAAAATATTCACATTAGTGCTTAGCAATATTAGCTAACGTGCTAATTAGGGTTGGGCAAAATATTCACATTCGAGCTTAGCAATATTAGCTAACGTGCTAATTAGGGTTGGGCAAAATATTCACATTCGAGCTTAGCAATATTAGCTAACATGCTAATTAGGGTTGGGCAAAATATTCACATTAGTTCTTAGCAATATTAGCTAACGTGCTAGTTAGGTTTGGGCAAAATATTCACATTAGTTCATAGCAATATTAGCTAATGTGCTAATTAGAGTTGGGCAAAATATTCACATTAGTGCTTAGCAATATTAGCTAACGTGCTAATTAGGGTCGGGCAAAATATTCACATTAGTGCTTAGCAGTATTAGCTAACATGCTAATTAGGGTTGGGCAAAATCGTATGCAATTAATAGTCAGTAAAACTGTCAACAATTAGTATTTGTCACTTTGCAATCACTGCAATTAGTGCCATGTGATGCATTTTTGTGCATGATCACTATCACTATCAGGCATGTGAGCCCAATGGTGGAAGGAGTCATGGAGCAGCTGATGCTAATGCTAAACCTACAAACTTGTTTAATCACCTGAAACACAGACATAAACCAGAGTAGAAGGAAAGCCAGAAAGTGTAATTCTCATAATTCTCATCTGTAAGTCATATTAATTATCAGCTAAATGATGCCAGAATTGCCCAACCCTAGTGCCAACACAACACACAGAGCTAATGCAGCCTAATTTAAAAACAAAGTTCTAGATGAAGTTATTATTTGGTCAAACTAAACTGCCGCTGCTTCTGTTGACAAGTTTTAAAAATAAACATTTGTTTAGTCTCGAAATTACATAGCAAATCTGCGTTATGTTGCTAATTCTAAGAGGAAAATAGCTGAATCTCTTGTGCTCCTGCACGGTAATTATCTTTTCTATGTGGATCATCGTATTTATGCCGTTGATTGCAAGGTGTCTGTGGTTTGGACATGAAAAAAATACAAAAGTAGCTTCAATAAGAGCAAAAGGATTCATTTGTTGCTAATTCAGAACCGAGGACAGGTGGTTTCATAAAGACTATAATTAACGATTTCCCACCTTCCTGAACTTATTTCTCTGTTTTCTCGTGTCTTCCCACAGGTTTCGGGACGATAAGGGCTACATTCTTTACCCTCAGATCGGGGACCGGCTGGACCTCATCTGCCCCCCGCTGGACACCGTCCGGTCCACGCCCGACTACGAGTTCTACAAGCTGTACCTGGTGTCGTCGCGGGAGCAGGCGGACCGCTGCGAGGTGATGGGCGCGCCCAACATCGTGCTGACGTGCGACGAGCCCACGCGGGAGCGCCGCTTCACCATCAAGTTCCAGGAGTTCTCCCCGAACCTCTGGGGCCACGAGTTCAAGAGCATGCACGACTACTACATCATCGGTGAGTCCGGGGG